TAAAGCAGTATGCATTTCAATAAAGGAGATATTTCAAGAAATTTGGCCTTCTAATTACCTGGGATAAGATGTTTTGTTCTGTTACAACAAAATTTTTCATGTTTTCTGTGCTTTTTTTTTTTTTTTGGTTGGATCTCTCACATCCATTCCATGGGTCTATGAATTTAGAATGAAATTGTGAGGCTTGAATAAGTTACACACCAGGAAATAGTATATGCAATCTTTCTTTCCAAGAATAAAAACATTTCTAATACAGAAATATGATTTGACATTAATCTTCAATTGATGACTGAAAGTTAACAGAGTTAAATACTTCAGATTGTTTCAGTTAAGATTTGTTGCCGTTTTCTAAAAGGTAAATCATCACTTGTTGTTTTGTTTAAATGTGGCAAGATATAATCACAGAAAACCTATAGTTTATGCTTGTTTAAACAGCTTTTCATTTCTATGTTGCAGCACAGAAGCAAGATTATAGCTGTGGAAGAATGGAAGAAGAGCAATATTGCACTGGAAATATTTTGGAGGACTTGAAGGAAAGGCCTGAATAGTTCTGTTTTGCTTTGCTTTTCTGTTAGAGTGTTTCCTTTTTTAAAATATGGCTTTCCTTAAGAGGGTTGTCATGAATGTTTTAATCAAAATCCCCAACACAACTTTTCTATGGTCCTTGTTATCCTACTCTGATATGGATGTACTCATGAACTTTTGTAAATTTAGCCAATTATACTAAAGAAATACCAGACTTCACTTTAGTGGCTTCTATTATCAGGAAGTGATCTTCAGTGTCCTGGATAGGCTACTGCACAGCAGAATAGCAGCCACAGCCAAACTTAATGAAAGACAGTCTTATCTTATCTGAGAGTTTTCTTCTTCTCTCATTTCACTTGGTTATACTCAGTTATACTCAAATAAACATGTTGCAAAAGTGTAAGATCTGATTTGTAATAAGCCTTTGAAATAACTGTAAAACTTTACCAATAAAGTTGGTAAAAATGCATTTAATATTTAAATTATTGTGTATATTTGGCATACTTCAATATCTCCTTTAGGGCTTCACTGGTGTATTAATTCTAGGTTTTTACATAAGAAAGTCTTAAAAAAAGTGGATTTATAATCAGAAAAAAGTAAATAATAACTAGAAAACAGTGCATACACAAACCTTCACAATGGGCTCAATTTTTCAAGTACACTGAAGACAAAAGTAGAAGATCTCCAATCTATTCTAATTATTGGCATGAAGGCTTCTTTTTCGTGGATCATTGTTCTGATAGACTGAATAGGCAATGACTTCTATTTCTTTTTGGTGACTTACATCAGTCTATTGTGAGGAAAACATGCAAAGTGTTCAGATTTGTGTGCAGTGGCATCAGATTGAACTCTTCTGCTAATGTCTGTGTTTATCTTCTCAAGATATTATACCCATCCACTGTGTGCACTGCCTGCTGGATGAATTGTTCATGAAAGCACTTGTAGAAGTTGTACAATTTTTGTGTACTGTAATATGCTAATATTCTAGGCAAATGAGATTTACAGTGTGGCAACTAAGCCATCCTGTTCTTTAACAAACTGATAAAGGGGAATGTTGGTATTTCTTTATGCTCCTGAAGAGACACAAGGAATGAATATTTGTGGCTAGTATGTGTCTAATAAACAAGTAAATTGAGTCATCCAATGGAAGACTAAGCACAGCTAGGCAGGTAGTGTGAAGAAAACCACATTTTCAAACTCAGTTTGCTTCCATGGGATGGATAATTCTGGGCTCAGAATACAGAAGACGGCGATTAGACTGTGAAACACAAGTTTCGTTGATTATTCTGTTAGATTTGCGATTTCATAGCATAGTCCATATATAAATAACCAAACAACTTTTCCCACGCCATGCTGTCTGCATACAAAGATTTCATCCTTCACATCATCCATAAAACTTTAACTCATTGTTTGATATTCTTTAGGATATCATAACTAATTACTTTGGTGATGTGGACTTCATAAAATCATTGTGGAAGAAAAAGAGTTAAATGTACCCCAGACTTAAAAAAATCTGCAAACCTCTAGCTCTGTGGGATGCAATGATAAAAATGTGATTCCACTGTAAGGAAGAGAAAGACCGGACATGGATACTGATTTCTCTTCCTAGCTTCCTTCATGCTCTTTCTCTGAGTAAAAGAGAAGATTTTACTCCTTTCTCTTACATTTTAAAACATGACCCTTCTTGCAACAGGCCAGGATAGGAGAGGTAATTGGACCCAGCCATCTATCATGTCATGACCCAAACCCAAAATGCAAAGTCCCTTTGTTTAGTCAGCCTTACTACTTTTGAAGGGAAAGAAGGGAATGTGTAAATACCTGAGTGCCTTCTTGATCTTAGCATGCATTAGAGGAGCAAAAATTATTATAAAACTAGTGTGATATTTGGCATAGAGGCCTATAATTATTGATATAAATGGAACAGAAAAATCATACTTCTATTTGTGGCTTCTCAGGACTGAAAGAAAATTCATTAATCATTCAGTACCATAGTCTGCTGGTATATCACGCCTTCCATTGATCAAATGGATCTATGATTAATCAGGTTAATTGATTTTGTTACTTAAATCCAGACTACTTTGGCCATGGAATAATTTTAAGCTCTAGAACTAATTCTGAGAGATTGAATAGGGCTAAAAAAATACATTATCTTCTGATGATTAATATTGTTCTTCCAGTGACCAGCCAAATTACTTTCTGACCAGTTTGTACCTATTTAATCTTGTTTTGAACTGAATATAGTGATAATGATTAAGGGAGACATGACGGAACTTGTAACATTTTCTGTGTTCATATTATTAAAAGAAATAAAGATTATGAAAATAAATGAGAAAAATTTTGCTTAATTTATTCACTTTTCTATTCCTGGTTGTAAACCACTAAATATATATATATATATAGATTCCCCGAACCTTAAGATTTCTGAATTCAATGAAAGTAAAACTTGAGATAAAAGAAAATAACTTGTTAATTGCCAGCATTTTTTTATCTCATCAATGAATAATTACTTTTTTAAATTTATATACTTTTTTTCCTAAAATGAAATAGATTCCAAAATGGAAGCTCATTTCAATCAAATAATTACAAATTGGACAAGCAACTCAAACTTTAAAATATTAAAGCATAATACTTCAATAAACCAAAAGTCTTTTTTCCCTTCCTGTGTAAGAAAAAGAAATTTGTGAATACTTATATTTCTTCACTTATTCATATTGCTTTTAACAATTTTTGTAATTAAAATTTCATTAGAACATTCCCTCATATCTGTCAGCAATTGCCTAAGGAGAAATAATTTTAAAAGAAAACATTTATCATCAACAGAAAATTAAAACAAGCAATTTTTGAAGGCTTTGAAATCTGTATGTTCTCATGGTTGCTGGATCATACTGCTTCAAGTGGATCTACAATCACCAACACTGGGGTAAGTTTAAAATGTCCTCAGTGACTCTTGAATCAGTGTCAGTGAGTCATATTTTAATACTCAGCCCTGTTTAGTTCTGAACCTAAGAGCTGAGTGGATAAAAGTCTATGATTTCTTTTAAAAACTCTCCTATTATTTCTGGAAGTAGATCAGAGCTTGGTATAACATATTACAAATACTTTGATTTCTGCTTTCAAATGTCAGTGTTTCTGAGAAAATTATGCCTATTCTATTAAATATGTGCCACACCATAGTCACCGTAGTCTGTAATTTTTATATTTCCCCATAAATAGAATCTGATACAATGCAGGGCAAAAACTTAAAGTGTTCTTTATCTTCTATATCTTACACAAGCTACAAGCTTATAGGTCAGGATTTAAAGGTGGTTTCAAAACCAGATATTGAAGAATAGATAGAGCCAAGATTCATAATTGAAAGATAATGACTGAGGCATTCATCTGTGAAGTGTATGCATGTTTTCAATTAGTTGCAAATGTTCTTTACACAGTTTAATGTATGAGACAGGTTAGGCTGGTGTGGTTTAACCCCAGTTTGGAATGAAGCCCCACACAGCTGCTTAACTCACTCCCCCCTCCACTGGTGAGATTGGGAAGAGAATCAAAAAAGTGAAAGCTGGAATATTTGTGGTTTGAGTTGAAAACAGTTTAATAGGGAAGGCAAAAGCCAAGTACACAAGCAAAGTAAAACAAGGAATTAATTCACTGGTTTTTATGGGCAGGCAGGTGTTCAGCCACCTCCAGCAGAGTGGGGCCACATCACAGGTAAAGGTGACTTGGAAAGACAAACTCCATTACTCCAGGCCTCACCTCCTTCCTCTTTATTCTCACACTTTATATACTGAACATGATGACTCCAGGCCTCACCTCCTTCCTCTTTATTCTCACACTTTATATACTGAACATGATGTCATATGGTCTGGAATATCCCTTTGGTCAGTCACCTATCCTGGAATTACCTTTGTCTCCTCCCAGCCTCCCATCCATCTCCTACTTCCTCAGTACAAAAAGCATAAAGAACTCTGTCTCTGTGCAATCTCTGGTCAGCAATAACAAAAGCATCTCTGTATTATCAACCACCTGTTCAGCACAAATCCAAAATACAGACCCATACCAGCCACTGTGAAGAAGATTAACTCTGCTATGGCCAAAATCAGGAAATCTAGAATGAACTGTACAACCTTTCAAACAACAGAGATGTGTTTTAGGACAGCTCAGACACTTTGAAACTAGGAAAAAAGACATGAAAAATTAAAGCGAAAGGAGGACAATGGGGGAGGAAGAGTAAGGCAAATTGAATCACAGAGCCCCTTTTAAATGTGCACACTGCTTTCTCAGAAGAGTGGAACACCTTTTCAAGACCTCTTTTAGATGCTCTTGATCACATCTATATTTATATAAACCCATCCTAGGCACAAAGAAATAAAGGTTTTGCTGCTGTCATGACCAAGATTCTGTCTTGAAACAGAGCACGCAAACAAGTCCCAAGTTTAAGAGAGAAGGAAGACAGATGTGCAAAGAAAAAATAAATGCTGTACCTGTTCTCTTCATTTAATGAGTTGCCTCTTTCTGTGAAGGAATTCCTCCTAGATACCCTTTTCTCTGCTTGGCTGTGCCTCAGCATTCACTGGTGTTGTACATCATTTATCAGTACCAGCTCTGGGAGATAACCAGCAGCTGTGAGATGCGTAGTATGTTTTGGATGAAAGCTGTCCCTGTTGCCTTTAACAATGCCAATTGTTCTACATCCCCAGTGTTCTGCACTTGTCTTCGGTGGTTAGAAGCAGCATTCCCAGCTGCACTGGGAAAGGGTTTTGAATAAATATTAGGCAGACAGCAAAAATGCTATATGTTTTGCATGAATGGTATTTTAAATTCTGAGTAACAGTAAGTTTTAAAATGTGTATGAATGTCTAAATTAGGAGCCTACTTTCTTAATTGTCAGAAGATATCTAAGGAAAAACTATTATTGCCCTATGTGTTTTAGTCAATAAAAGAGTCAGGCATTTCTGATTCAAGATACTGGATTCAGACTTGAGATCCTAGACCCTGGAGGCTCTCACATGCCTGACAGCAATTTCATCCACACTACACTTTGGTAGAAACAATTTTTTCCTTAAAAAATATCTGCAGAATTTTGCCACAATATGATAGCTCCAATGGTACAAAACACCCTATCTGCATCATTCAGTTCATCCTTCAGAAGCACTGGACAGGAGGAAACTTTCTGATGCGTAGGGGGGTGTGACTCATCTCTTAGCCTGGTGTCTAAGCAAGCTGTCTGTGGCTGCTGTGATAGCAAAAAAACCAGCTGAGATCTGTAAGAAAGATACTGTCTCAGGATCTCTGTGTTCCCTATTTAGAAGTCACATGGATCCAAATTTAAGAAGATGGAATGATTTCTCAATTTCCATTCTAACTCCCCATTCCTCAGCATGGGGAGTTTCTGGAGTTATCCTCCAGATGGTAAATTTTGGCACATCATGGAGATGTTGTGTTCACCTTTACCTTTTCAGTACTAGCTATGGAGGACCAACATTGGTTGGATCCCATGATTCCTCAAACATACATGCTTACATGAATGATTTGGATAATAAGAATTAGTATTATAATGAAAATTAAGGTAGGATGGTATCACAAAAATTGTGTTGGATCAACTAATTTAGGGGTTTATACTCTGACTTGTTTTTTAAGCAACTTGTCATTTCTCATTAGCACTCTAGAGCTTATTATTAGCTTCAGAGATGAGATGATGGGGACCTGACATACTGGTTGGCTTCACAGTTGCTCAAAGACACTTCCACTGCAAAAGAATCTGTCCAAAACCAGAGCTTTACTCTGTTAAATTGAAAGTTTGAGAGTCAATGAGAAGACAATACCAATGCTTACAAGTGCAAGGAAATTAGTTATTTTTCCTTAAACTATGTTTCCAGTTTTACTGTACTGTCAAAATACTTGCTACAAATTCATTCTTATTATTTGATTTTGTTATTGCCCTGGACTTCAATAGCTATTGTGCAATTGAGGTTGTCAAGGAGAACTGATTTTCTGCTTAACTACAGGCTATTTATCATTCTTGCAGTGTATCTCTGTGTATTTGCTGAGACATAGGTACATCAGTCATCTGTCTTGTGCTGGTTTGCAGCTAGATCTGGATTGTCCAGCCCTTTTATTTTCTTTCCATGCACAAGGATGAAAGGACAAGGCAATAGTGACTTTAGCCTTGCCCTGAGGTGTTGCCAGGGCACAACTGAGAAGTTACACCAGGTTCTGCAACCCAGTGAAGTTTCCATGTCCTCCACTTCTGTGCTATGTGCTTTGTCTTAAGTCTTGGCAGCTTAGTTAAGGTTTCAGGTTCATTTGAAATTTGATTGATTTTAGGCACTCTCAAGAGTTTTATTAATACTAAGGGCAGTGGGAAGCCCTGTGATTATCATTTATATGATCAGATGAGATAAATAATAGGCAGGTAAGGATTTTTGCAGGGATAGGAGAAAATACTTGTTAAACAAGATGCTTACAATCACATCATCATCATCATAGACATTAAGAAGTTACTCCCATTTGCACCATTCCAAACCCATTGCACAGAAATGGATTTTGGTGACCAGTAGTATAATTAAAATGTAGAATGAAATAGTGTGAAAATGAAAACTGTGAAAATATCTATAGGTTTTCACCCATCTGTATTATTTCTGTTTTATTAGCATTCATCAGCTTCCATTAGTCCTATGTGGCCCTAATATTTCTTCATTCATTGATTTTTGCACAGTCAAATAACTTATCTAACTTGATGTGGCTTGATAGTAAACAAGTGGCTGTTGCAAAACTGAAACAGTGACAAAAAGATGAGTTTATATAACCAACTAAACTACACCATGATGTTTCCTAATGTATTTAACAGTAGTTTTAAACATGTTTGATTTGAACTAGAATTTTCTACTTGTTTATAATGTCAGATACTGAAGCTTTCTATGTGTCAATCCCAGTCTTCTTCATTAAAAAAATTAAAAAATACAACCCAAAACAAACCCCACAAGCCTATTTTATGCTCTGCTATGTCTCAAAGAAGGTATCAGGTAATCACATTGAAAGTTTTTGATCATTGAACCTATAGTCTGCTGGGAATCTGGATGTTGTCATGAATACTTTATTATTTTCAATATTATCCTGGAAGCTAAATTATTATTTTCCTGATTTTGCCAGATTAATGGGTTAATATTTTTTTTTTAAACACAAAATTGTACTCCAAAACATTTAGAAAAAGAACAGCAAGCACAGCCTTAGCAAAACTAAGATATGATTTCCTTCACTTACTTCTTTAATAGACACATCAATCTCTCTTGTCATGGTTTTGTTGCTATACATATAGAGCAAACCTCTTTTTTATTCAGATTGATTTACTTTTATTCTAGACTGAGGGAAACTAACAAACAAGAAAACAGCAAAAGAGGAATTGTAATATGTTTCTTCCCAACTGAAACACTAAATGGGAGCTGTTTCAGCAGGGAGCTTGCTATGCTTAAAGGCACAGTGAACCTAATATTTGTTTTCTTGTGTTATCTATAAGCTTCTCACTCCAAATTTTTTTAATCCAATCTAGTTTATTAAACTGCATGTGAAGAATTATCACTTTTTTTTCCTTTTATATAATGTATTTCATGTGAGTCCTGCACCTACAGCCACTTTAAATATCCTGATAAACTAAGGAGCAGCCAAGATTTATCATAGACAGTGCTACCCTGGACACAGATATGATGCCTTGAGAGTAGTTATGGTTTTATTCTAAACAGTTTGGCTCTATTTTTTTCACCTTTTCTCTGGATTTAATAGCTCACAGGTCCTTTTTCCACTTTATTTGATCTCTCCTTCAGAGAAGCCAGGGTACTCAGGTGCTGCTGCTATGCTACACTGATGCCAAGTAAGGGTTTCTTGGAAAGTCCTACTTTATGCTTCTCATTGCCCATTGCTTCTGACTTACTCTTTTATCCCTTTCTCACCAAGGGACCATTATGAGGGCTCTTAAAATTCATGTGAACTTATGGAAATCTTCCCAAGTCCTATCAAAGAGATGATATTTATTTTTAACCCCAAAAATATTTTTAAAAGTTAATGATAGTTATGCATGTATGTGTGTATGAAATAGAAAATAGGAATAAAATAGTTAATCCTTTTCAACATCTGAATCTGTCTGGCCCTCCCATACAAAAAGAAAATTTTAAAGGTATTTCTGTCTCTTTTTATAGTGATTAATGGGATATGATATTTTATTTAATGGGATGATGACCACTGTAGACAAGTTTATAAATAAGCTTAAAATTCAAGCGAGTATTATTATTGCAGAGCATCTTACACAGTAAGTACTTCCACAATGTTCTTCACATTTTTCCTTCTTCCTAATTTATCTTGAGTATACAAAGTCATATTAAGCTATAACCATAGTGCAGTCAATCCTCAAAACAAGAAAGAAAAATTAATGAGCAATTTCATTTTAGTCTGATTTAATACATTTTTAATCATTAAATTTGTGTGAATATATTTACTATGCAAAGTTATTTTCCAGAGTAGCATTTTCAGACTAAACATAGAAATTTTTCTTCAGAAAAAAAAATCATAGACATTTCAGTGTGAAGGCTTAAAATTCTGGTTTGTGCACATTAAAAAAAGGAAAGTAATTTTGATTTCAAAACACAGAAAGTTTTATTGCATTTCACAGCAATGATAATAGAATCAGCAGTCAGGACAGGATAGACTGTGACTTATTTCCTAGATGTTTGAAAATTCTCTGATTCAACCTTTTCAGTTGTGATTCTTCTATGTTCAATAACTGTCAGTTAATCAGTTAAATTTGGAGATATACTCAGCAAAACACACAGACACACACACATGTATATATGATACCACATGAATCTCTACCTTTTTTACTGTTTGGAAGGAAAATATGCCACTCTTCTTCACCAGCATCTCAAGATGTGTCAAGGTAGATGCATTACTCTGGCATAAACAGATGTAAGAGTCTTTGTAAAAGTATTCTTCAAGGCTGGTCTTCTAAAACGGTTAAACAGGTCAGCTTTCATAAATGAGAATAACTTTGTATTGCCCTAAAATCTACAGCTTGAGTGAGATACTTTACTGCTAAAGGAAAGTTTTAGATTAAGAAAAACATCTTCTTCATTCTATAAAATGCTGTGCCATTCTATTTAACATTATATTTAAACTTACATGTGTCAACTTCTACTTTTTTTTTTTTTTTTAACTTGCCTTCGGCTTACAGATCACTGTTCAATGCCTGAAGTTCTCAGAAGACATCAGTTTTTCATATCTCCCACAGACTCTGTACATTAAATGCTTCAAACTCTGCTTAAATAATTGCAAAAGTCCCTGGATTGAGATTTGGAGAACAGTAGCTTCTCCTACTGCTGTTGTCATGAGGATTTCAGTCCATTAGCAAATATAGAGGAGGGATAAGAAGAGAACTAACAAAATGCCAACTTGCTTCCTGTGATATTTAATGTCATATTCAAAGGGCAGCAGATTTTTTGTCTGCACATGAACTGTGGTAAAGCTGCTAGAAAAAGCAGATATTAAGATTCAAACTTCCTACTAATCCAGACACCTGTCAGTCACTCTGCAGTTTGCATTTGTTTGCTGGGATTTTGCTAGGTCTGCT